TCTTTTTCTCTCTTGTTCTCTTTCTGACTTTTCTTTCTCTTTCTATCTCTCCTTTTCTCTCTCTCTTTCTATCTATCTATCTATCTATCTATCTATCTATCTATCTATCTATCTATCTATCTATCTATCTATCTAACTATCTATCTCTCTCTCTATCTATCTATCTATCTATCGATCTATCTATCTATCTATCTATCTATCTATCTATCTATCTATCTCTATCCTCTCTCTCTCTCTCTCTCTCTCTCTCTTTCCCTCTCTCTTTCTCTCTCTCTCACACGCCTATTGATGTCTCCCTCTCCTCCTCTCCCCAGAGTCGGCGATAACATTCTGACAGTAAAAAACGGCATGCAGAAAGTGCCAAAGGAGCTCATCAAGAAATTCAGAAAGACTAGCACATTGTAAGTCTGACAAAGTACGACTTACGATAGAATAGGAGGTACGATAGAATACTACGCACAATAGAATCAAACACACGGTAGACACGAAATTCAGTTGAATACGACAAAAACAATATCTTACGTATGTGTGATAGAATATGACACCAGAGTCTTATGTCGTTCGAGAGAACACGACAAACGATAGAATACGAAAACCAATAGAATACCACACACCACATCATATTATGCATATTTGATGGGCCGGTTAGTGTGTTCGTCTCCGAAGCGAAAAGTCCCGGGTTTGAGCCTCGGTTCGGACACGGATTTTTTTCGCCCCCTCCTGCCCACCCAGCAGTTATGGGTACCTGACTTCGAGTTGGGGAAGTAAAGGCGGCGTGGAAAGGAACAGGCCACCACACCACAATATTATGCCGAAGGCCAAGGAAGTTTTCTAACTAAAAGGCACTAAAAGGCAATCCCCAATGTCCGGATCGGATGCGGGAACAACTTTACTTTTAACTTTATGACACTCGATAGTATACGACACACGGTTGAATGCGACAAACTATAGAAAACGACACACCATATGTCACATTATACATATTATCTGACAGAATGCGACACACGATAAAATACGTCACAGGATAGAATGCTACAAATCATAGAACAAGACACACCAAGTCGTAATATGCAGGTTTGATAGAATGCGATACACCATAGAAAACGACACACGTACTATGTATATTATATGATAGAATGCGATACATGATAGAAAACGACACACGTACTATGTATATTATATGAGAGAATGCGACACATGATAGAAAACGACACTCTATGTATATTATATGAGAGAATGCGACACATGATAGAAAACGACACACCAAGTCATATGTATGTTTAACAGAAAGCGACACACGAAGCCATTTAAATGTGTGTACGTTTTATCATATACAACATGCTTGTATTCTTTGTACGAATACCATATCAACTCCAATCAATCGTCTTTGCATTCTTTCCTTCTCCTTTTCTCCCCTTCTTCCTTCGTTCCTTTTTTATTTCTCTGCCTGATCAATCGTCTTTGCCTTCTTTCCCTTTTCTCTCCTCCCCTTCTTCCTGCTTTCCTTTTCTTGTTCTCTGGCCAATCGTCTTATTCTTCTGTCCTTCTTCCTTCCCCCTTCTCCTTTCTTTCTGAAAAAAACTACTTGTTTCCCAGTGCTGCACTTTCCACTTGATTTATTGAAAACCGGTAATGTGTTAACTATTAATCAATCGCCCACGAGCTAATTATAAAACCTTGCGCTAGGATAAGAGGCTAAATCTTCCGTTGTCCCCAAATTGTATACCTGCCATGGTATGAGCTGGTCATTTGATAGTTTGAGATAATTAGCTGGCAACGATCCAAATAGACAGAACCGGGACGGGAAGAAAGGGATAGAAAGAAGAGAGAAGAGTACGGGGAGGGGGGAGGGGGGACTTGAGGCAGAGAGAGCGAGAGACAGAAAGAAAGACAGAG